ATTTTAAACTCGTAACTGGCTCATAGGTATCCTAGGATGAGATATCGAAGTTTCTTCAACCGATTAAAACGTTTAATTATCTATTCCTCGGTAGCTTATTAGTAAGGTAATTTAACGCAAGTCAACCGATGCTACAGTTCTGTGATATCATTACAATTAAGATAAGGAATATAAATCGTTCATAATGATTAATCAAACCTAAACGCTTGACAATTGTTTTGAACTTTCTAGATTGGATGAATCCCAAATTTTTCGATGGTAAAACCTAAAACAACAGAATCCTGTAAGAAATGTTGGATATGGAGGTGCATTGGACTACCCGAAGTTAGGCAATCATCAGATATTTTTCGATGTTGGCAATAAGTCTAGTTAAGATCTATGATCATGTATATTTTAAAATTACCTAACACAGGAATTTGATTGTGATAAAAGACTAGTTTTAGAGTAATTTCAAAATCGACACAAATTTTAATTTCCCCTTTACTTTCCCGAAGATTAACGGTAAATCCATCTTAATCGAGTGTATATTTTTTATAAACTGTCCTTTGTATCTGGAAACAATTTCGTTGTTGGGATCAGTTTTTATTGGACAACATAGGGTATTTATTTATCCATGGCCGGTCGGCAAGGAAATTCTTAAGTTTTTTGGAACTGTTTGATGTAACTACTAGCATTTTCAAACGTTAGTGTTTATGGAAATCCAAAAAGTTTAAATACATTATAACTGCCGGCAGCTTATTAGTCATAAGTTTTATCACAGCTTTTCATCCTGTCTTACTTCCTTTATTTCTAACGAATGACTGCCATGGCTGTGTTCTTAGGAGGACTGATCTTTTTATAGATATCGTGGCAAAATATTGAAGGTTTGGCATCGATGTAGTAATTAGAGATCTGCAAAGTTAGGTCCGACCCATACCCGGCCCGAGGGCCTAATTCTATTTAAAATAATTGAGCCGGGTCGGGTCGGATCTTAGAAATTTTTTCAAATATATCTAAATTTATCAATTTTATATTGAATTTTTTATGTAAAATAAAAATATCTGATTTTATTTATCGAAATTAAACGACATATAACATATGTCTTTTATTTTGAGTAATTAAAAAAAATTAATTTCTATATTTAAATAAATTCGGGCCGGGTCGGGTCGGTAAATTTTTTTAAAAAATATTCGGATTAGGGCCGGGCCGCCAAAACTTTTTTAAAAAAAATTTCGGGCCGGGCCGGGCTTGAAAAATTAGGCCCGATGCAGATCACTAGTAGTAATCCCATTGAATAGCTAGTACATTTATTTTAGAAGTTATAGTGCCTCATTATTATTTCCCAATCTCTAGAGATTATTAATCAAATCACCTGGAGACACCTGGAGAGTTCCTTATCTGATATGATCTTTTGTTATTGTTGTAAATTTTAGATTAGTTAAATTTGTACTTTATATTTAATTTGCATAAAGAATTCTTTTGGATTTATTGTTATAACGCGTGATAAAAATATTATATTTGAATAGTTATGAATATTAGTGATAAAGAAAATTGGAAAAAGTATAAAAAGGCCAATTTTTACCATACAAGAAAGATCTTTTATAATTATTAACTTTTTTGTATTTTATTTTATTTTTTTTAGTAATCTTTTTTATTATTTTGACTTTTATAATTTTGTTAATTTGATAATGTTATAATTTTGAATAAAGGATTAAATTATGATTTTACGAACTTAATTTTTTTTAATCTTTAATTTTTAATTTTAATTTATATTAATTTATTTTGATTATGTTTTTATCTTATTATTTAATAAAGATTTAGTATCATTTTAGTTCTAACCTTTCTTATTTGACGAATATTATATAAAAGTATATATAATCGAGGATATTAGTCTGATTTAGTATCATTTTAGTTCTAACCTTTCTTTATTTGACAACGGTTCTAATCACTCAATCCTTAGAAAAACATCAAAATGTTACAGTTATATTATTCTTGCCACAGACCGCAAATGCCCCTCTTTTTTAGGATTTGTTATTCCTCCACATTTGCCACGTTTCATATTTTTAAATATTTATTTCCTTTCTAATACGTATTGCCTTTGGAAATTTTGTCTATATAATAAATATCTTATACATATAAAAATATTCTGGCTCTAGATGCGTGAGCGCAACCATATATATTTTATCCAGATTCAAATGTTACTTTAAATCACGTGACCGATTACATATTAAATGTTGATTTATGTCACGTGATCAATTATATATTATTATTTCGAATTTTATTATGACGTGACACTAAATGATTTCATATTTTGAATTAATTTTTTTATTTTCTTTTTATATAGGCTAGGTAAATTTAATGAAGATCTCATTTTTAAGTAATTGTGCTATTAAGAAGCAACTCTCTGGTTATTTATATTAAAATCTATATTATAAATTTATGTTACACATTATTTCTTCATGTTAATATATTTCTATATATCAAAAATATTTTAGTAAATCTATATAATATATAGTATTATCATATTTAAGGTATTGCTAATTTTGGTTATTAAATTATTTATAATACTATCCCAAATTATATAAATAATGCTTGTTTAACCCATATATAGCTATTTTATGATTATAAAAATTAGTGTTTGCATTGGTCCCTCCAAGGCGGTCTTATCAGACTCTTAGGTCCCACCGAACAGTTCGGTCCGACAACACGATTCGATGGTCCGGTCCGACCGACGACCGATTAAAGAAGATAAAAGTTTACTATACTATGAATTGCTTTTTAGTAAATGTACATGTACATGAATACATAAAACATAATTATTTAATGCCTAACACTTTATAATATCTCATTCATCTTTTAATTTTTATATTCTTTCGTTTCATTCAATTCATTTGTCGTCACGTAATTTAATTTAGTAGGATAGGTAGTATTATATTTTTATTTTTAGAAATAAGAATTGAAATCATAGAAGTTGATAAAACTATTGAACTACCACACTCTTCAGGGGGTGAAAGAATGACTATTGATGTAAATGAAAAAAATCCATCAAATTCTTTACATAAAATGTTAAAGAATTATACAAAAAAAAAGAAGATAATACTGGAAAAACATGTAAAATATGTCTACAAATATTTTCCAATTCTTCAAGCACAAGTAAATTATGCATATAAATGGAGCTCAAAATTTTAAAAACTTAATCAAATAAACATACTTATAGTTATGATTAGGGCTGGGAACCATTATTAAAAACCCAAGATTAACAAAATATTATTGGAATAGGTCTAAAATATTGCTATTGGTTTGAATAATATTTTCTATTACTTGTATGATATATTGGTTTAAATTCAAAAAAAAGAATAGAAATAAGAAAATAGCCAGGGATAGGCTCATGGGAACCGGGACATCAGCAGAGAAAGCTGAGAAAGATGATTTAAATGAAATCCAAAGCTATTTATCTGATATTTTATATCCGATCAATTCTAAAATACTAGATTGGTGGGAAGGGAATCAATATCGATTTTCAATTCTAACCAAAATAGCAATGGACTATTTCCCACAGCAGGCTACATCTGTAGCATATGAACGGATCTTTTCTAAAGCTAATGATATAATAACAAAAAAACGAAATAGAATGAATCTGTTCAATTTATAATGACACTTGAATCATGGATAAAAAATAGAATAATTTTTGATTTTTTTAGAAGAATAATTAAAATATTTATTTATATTTTATAACCAAATATCTATCGCATTATATATATCAAAAAAAACTAATTAAATATGTAAATCAAAATGATTTAAATTATATTCAATAAATTTGTATTTTAATATTCTTTTGAAATATTAGGCATTTGTATTGTATAATACAATAAAAATGATTTGATGATATAATTAAAATATTGGTAATTTAACATTTTTTATTAATAAATTTAATACAAAATAAAACTTTTGTAGCTTAATAAAAAATTTTTAGATGGGACCTGACGGACTGGACCGATGGCCCCACGGTCGGTCTCAATTGACTTAACGGTGGGATCGAACCGTTGCAAACACTAATAAAAATATAATATTTGACCTTTACGCTATTTAATCATTGTTGGATTAAGAAACATTTTATATTTATTGATTATGTGAACTAATGCAATATAAAATTATTTTTCAATCTACATTTCTTCACTCGAATGGATTATTTTTTAGGTAGTATCAGCATGAATTATCTTCATAAGAAATATATATTTTCACTTAGTAATGCTCCAACTCATAGTTGGTCCAAATTATTTTTCTTTAGAAATATTCAAAAAGGTTTTAAGTTGAATCATGCTGGGCAAGTGTCTTTTTTGCAGATTTATCACTTGCTTCTAATCTCGATTTTAGTTTAAATAATCTTAAAATTTTTTTCTTAAAGCTTTTTCATCTTATAATTAATCTACTACTCGCTCATGACTGCTAAAAAAACTATCCATAAACAATTTATACATTTACAAAAGTGGAACATTTATATTTAATTAGAGCAATACTTCAAATATTTTATATCCTAGAAAAATATAATTAAGAATGCATAAATTCAAAAAAAATTTCCCCCTTGGATGTGAAAAAAAAATAAGTTATAGCGATGTCACTGCTTTATAATATTTAATCATGAGACGATATCCAATTTTAGATAAAACATTTTCAACCAAATCAAGGTAGTTATTAAATGATCCAAATATAGCGGTCAATGGTAATGATTTAATTTACCATAATAAAATTAAATATTAAGCATATTTTTACAAAAAAAAATGGAGTCTCATAATTCATTTATAATTAATTTCTGTAATAAAGGCTCACTGACAAGCTATTCTGTGAGATGTGTAGAGATCGCAATATTTAAAATAGCTTAAATTATAATTTCAAATAATCAATAATTTATAATATACAATTTTAATTCTGACGGTATTAAGACATATTATACATATTTAATGAAGTTTATATGCCGACGAATATATATTGCATATAGATTATTTTTAAAAATTATAATTTTATAAATTTTTAAAATTAAGTAATTGAGATTTTTTTTATATAGTATGGACAACATTATAAAATTCCTCATTCTAATGTTCTTTATCCTTGGAACTCAAGGTATATTGTATCAAGCTATTAACTATGTTATTAAAACTAGTGAATATTTTTATAAAAGCATTTCAAAAAAAATTATATTCTTCCAAAAAATTTAAATTATTAAAATTAGGCCGATGTCCTCCTTTTTTAACTTCTAATATTTGATTAAATACAAACTGCTAAGGAATCTAATCAAGAGAATTTAAAATTATCATATAAAATGAATCCCCCGTAATATAACCAGCATTTTATAATGGGTTATACCATTTTTATCAATATATAGTCCTCCTTACTTAACAATCGAAAAATTGGTATATCCTGTTATGGTAAAAAGAAATAATCTTTATTTAAACACAAACATTTTTTACGGCATAACCTTTTCCTCATAATCATCTATTATTGAAATAACATTTGTAGCATCGTTAAAATCCTAAAGTTGTCCATAGAATTGTCTATGGTATTTTTCTCCAGGATATTTGTTAAAGGAGAAGCAGAAGCAATTTCCATAAAATAGTTTGATAAATAATTTATATTTAAATTTCTTACTTCGGCTAAAACGTTGGAGATACTTGAAAGATAACTACTGGAAAAAAGATACTCTGGTATTTAAACAAAATTCCATATTAAATAAAAAATTACCTAGAAAAAGTTATTCTAGCAGCCTAAACAAATTTGTGCCTTGTTTTTTAGATTTTTTTTTATATTTGCATAAATTATTTGGAGTGCTATTCTTTTTATTAAAATCGGCATGACCTAGCTATCATAATAAGAATGGAATATTAATTGTAAAGATGTTGCAGCATCTGAATGAATAGAGGGAAAAAAAACTTGTGAAAAAAGTTAGACTTAAAACTGCGGAAAAAAAGGAAAAAACTACTCAAAGAGATTTCAAGGGAAACAAACTGCAGAAAAAAAGAATTAGGAATAAAAGAAACTCTGGTAAAAAAACCCTTAAAGAAAAAAAAACTGACAGAAAAAAACTAAGGATAATAAAACTCAAGGAAAAAAATTAAAAATAAAAAACTGTAGAAAACCTAATAATAAAAAATTGTGGAAAAAAATCTGTATTATTAAAAAGAAAATACTTCAACAAATAATACTATTTTTAAAATAAATTTGTAAAATGACTACATTATATTTGGATATCACTATATCTGATGAGATAAATGTTTAAAAAATAAGTGGACAATGTTAAATTATTTTTTTTAATAATAGTTTCTTTTAAATTCAGCTCTTATATATGATAAAATGTAATCTAAATATATAAATAATTCTAGGATAATTGTCGAGCATATCTGTTTTCAGATGGCCTGTAAACATTCTGGAATTACTCTTAAGTGTTGGCAATAATACCAGATTTTTAATAAAATCTGTATTCTTCATTTATTCAATTTAAATTTATCAACTAATAGTTACCTTAAAAATGTTTTCTTTAATTTATTTAAAAGTTTTTTATTTTAATAATAGAGATTTTTTTTCAGTTTTTTATTCTTTTTTTCCCCTTTCGATTTTTTTCCGTATTTTTTTTTATTTTCTCTCGCTATTTTTTCCTTGAGATTTTTTTCCGCAGTTTTTTATTCCTAAGTTTTTCCTTAAGATTTTCCAAAGGCTTTTTTCCCATTGCCCATCTGAATATAGGGTTTCATTCATATCTTAGCTTGGGTCATCATCTAAATCATTCGCATAAGTCTTGTTCCAGAAAAACATAATTCAGAATCAGCTATCCGACATTCTATATAAATAATTTTATATGATTAATGGCCAAATTTTTTTCTTAGTTTTGTTTAAAATATAATATAAAATTCCCATTTTAAATTACAATGAGCTTGATAGCACAATCAGCCTTCGTCTCCGAAACAAAAGTTCTTAGGTTCAAATCTGGGAGATAGCAAAATATAATAATAACTTTTATAAATAAATTTTAATAGACAACTGACTCTTATCGGAATTAGTCTGGCCGGATCAGAATTGGTTTGCCGGATCGGAATTGGTTGATCAAAAATAAATTCAAAATAAATTAATTCAAAAAAAATGTAATACATTAGATAATAGTCTCCTTAAATAGTAATAAATTAGTTTGATATAAAAATTGAGATATATAATGAATTTCTAAAGTAATTTATAACTATAATTAAGTCGTAAAAGTAACTAGTTACATCAAGTTATTCATATATTATTTATATAACTTATTCTTTTCAATATAATTCTTTTACGCAAATTAATTTTGCTATTTACAAATTTAATCAGGAATTTGAATGTATATACAATTTATTAATCAACAAAATAATTGCACAGAAAAGAAATATCATATAATATTAATTTGCACCGAAAAAATAATCTTTCATAAAAATTTAAACTTAATAAATTTTATCAAACTTTAACAAAAAAAATTTTCAAAATTGGTATCTAAAAGGTGGGCTTATATTTGATAAACACTAATTTTAAATTGTTTTAGTTATTCAATTCTGGTCTTGGACAGGATATTTAAGAAAAGTATGCATACAGAGTCGATTTTTAATCTAATTGAATTTATTTAAAAAATTATTATATTTAAATTTAGCTAATGGATATTATATGGCTATTTTTCAAGTTACATTCCAATCGAAGTTAATGTAACTACTTACTTAAACAACACTAATGTTGAATCCTACTTAGATTTGTTTATCACAACTTAATTTATTTTTATTTTGTATCTTTTTGACATTAACCTCAAACATTTTCAAACTAAAAGATACAAGATAAAAATTCAAGTTTTTGCTTAATAAATTTAAGTGGATCGAGGACGCCACTTAATAAATTTCATATTATAATACAAAGATTTTAAATGATCCTTTGCCTCGCAGTTGCAGAATTAATAAAATATTTGTGATATATAGGCTAAAATTAAATAGTTAATGACAAACAATGCAAAAATATATTACATTACACACTATGATCATAATTTTATATATAAATAAATATACTTTAAAAAAATTAAATTTTCATTTCTAGTTATTTTAAATAGCTTAGCTACATATATAAGTAGTAAAAACAATCAAAAATAAATTAAATATCATAATAGAAGATTTCTTATAAATATTTTATTTCTATAATAAAATAGTGTGAATAAATTTTATTTACTTTTGTATTAAAGGTATTGAGTCACCACCATTTAAAAAAATTTGATTGGAAGAATTTAGTTTAATATATAAATATTATAATATTCCGAATAAAAATATCAAATATTATATCTAAAAAGCAAACAATAAGCAATACTATTATACAATTATATAATATTATGTTGCTAATTAAGGGAAAATGTATTGTCAAATGAAATCTATCTTAATTAAATATATATGATTATTTTATTATTTTATTTTACTTTTGATAAGTCTAAACAATAATACTTTTGTTCGCATCTCGCTAGTTAACAATTTAAGAGAGCTTTGAAATTGTTTATCCATTATAATTGTATTTGCCAATGATAGGCGTCTCCCTTTTTAGTTCCTATATATCTGATAAATTATCAATATTAATGTTATAGGAATGGGCAGGAATTAAAATATATTTAAGGTATACCTTTTTTCTATAACTAGAATTGGAATTAAATGTTAAATTTTATAAACATTTGAAATTTGAACAATGTAATATTTTGGTAAATATATTTATTAATTCGATTATATCTGTCATTCTAGGTCGAATTTTGTGGAAAAGTATATATATTTATTTTTTGCTATAAGATCCGTCACATTTGTTCTTAACTATATGCGTTAATATTAGTCAAGCTTACGTTTTTAAACAAGTGTCATAATTAAGCGAACCAATTTTTGCACTAAAATTATAACGACCGGCTCGCTGAGTTGAAAAGTTCAATTTGTGCAGTACTATAGGTGAAGTTATTAAGGAATTATATTATTATGCGAATTAAAGATTTTAATGATAACTTGAATAAATAGTTTGCTATGAAGCATATTGTTCTATGTTTTTTAAATTATATTAAGTTCTAAATATTAAAAATCTTCCAAATTTTAAGGATAATGAAATTTAGTATATTAGGAGTTTTATAAAATAAAGGTTCCCATTAGAATTGAGGGGGGGGGGGGGGGTGATATGGAATTGTAAAGACACTATCGTCATTAAAATAAAATTGCAGGTAGGTAGCAGAGTTGTTAAAGTAGCGCTCTATTCTTTTTGGAGCGATAGCTATTAGCGCGTTATTATTTATTTTTTTAGCGTGCTCCTTTTTTGAAGGTACGCTACTTTAAAAATATAATGAATGTAATTATAAACATGAAAATTTATATATAATATCATAATTAATTATAATTCATTACTTAATTTTGAAATTAAAATTTATATTTTCAATTTGTATTATAAACCTAAATCATCTGGTGCAAATTATTTAAAATGTCATGGCAAATGAATATTCAAATCGATGTAAGTGAGTCAGATAAATATGATATTAATGAAAAGGAAGTTACCCTGGAAGAAAATGTTCTTGATAACAATAATACAAATTTTCCATTTCCAAAATTTGAAAAATATTTTAAAATTAATGTAAAAACAAAAGGTGACTACAAATTTATTTGTTCAAACTGTAAAAAAATATATCCTCAAATAAATCTAGCATCTCTCAAAAAACACTTAAAGGTAGTCATTTTAAAATTTTAGTAGTATCAATTTAAGAATGTTCATGCCAACAGTTTTAAAGAGATAGAAAAACATCTTAATAATTTTGGTATAGAGGAGACTACTTCCAAAAAGACGAATTAAATTCAAGCGAAATTGATTAATAATATTGCATACCAATATTTCTCAGAAACTGGCTGATAAAGTTATTGTCGATTTTATAATTGATACAAATCAGCCAATGTCATAGGTTGATAATCCATTATTTACCATGATGATTAAAACTCTATTCCCTGGTACAACAATTTTTTGTCGCCAGACACTAATGGTTGAGATAGCAGATAAAGATGTCCTAGTTAGAACCAAAAAACGACTTCCACTGATAATTTTTCTGAAATAAAGGATACTAATATAATAGGAACTCCTAAACGCGTTTTTTAAATCTAAAAATACTCAAATGAGTATTTTTGATAAATCTTTTTATATTAAAAATATGTTTATAAAATCAAATACTGCCATTCCCTCAAGTGCTAGTGTTGAGAAATTATTTAGTAAGACGAAATTTATACTTTATAATCGTCGCTCTAGACTCGAGGTTGATAGTATAGAATTAGAAATGATTTTATTATCAAAATGCAACAAAAATAAAAAAAGAATATTCCATAAATAGTAATTTTTATTAATAAATTATAGTCTTTTTACATAAATTTTTTTATAATCAAAACTAACTGTTTAAATATTTATAAATTTTAGATTTTAATAAATTATATATACTATGCAATTACATTAAAAGCAAAAAATACAACACTAAAAAGTAACCAAGGCTACTTTTAAAAAATATTAGTTAATAGCGCGCTACTTTATTTTATGGGTAGCGATAGCGGTAGCGCACTACTTTTTTGATAACTAGCGATAGCGCTCTACTTTTAAGTATGGTTTAACAACTCTGGTAGATAATGAGAAAATAATTGCAGGGGGGGGGCGGGGTTGCTCATTTTTATTTTGCGAATTTTGATTTGGTAGAAGGTAATATAGTCATTGGCTTAGAGGTTTGGGATGGGAAGTCAGAATATACCTTTTATAATATAATTTAATATAGATATCCAATTAAAGCGAATAAAAAGAGTTGGGTTAAAATTTAACTCTTTTAAGGTTAAGCTACCTCTAGAAAGATAAAGGAAAGCTAACAAAATTAGCAATTCGAAATGTTAGAATTTTGAATTAAATCTAGGAACATTATAAGCAGATTATGCCGGAAATATTATATAGTATTAAAGTTAAGCTTTTTTTTCTAAAAGTATTTAGTCCACACTCCCTCGTTTATAAAAAATATATAATATTAATCATATACTGTGAATTATCAAATGATTGATATTTATTTAAAATTTGAATTAAAACTAACATTTTAAAATAAATAATTTCATAATAATAGTAAAAATAAAGACTCATAAATAATTTAAAATCCTGATTTTTTTCCTCCTTTGATAAATAATATAATAAATTCAATGATAGTTTTTTTTTATATTATTAATGAGTGTGCACTAACTTGTATATTTGCATTGCATTCGGGAAGAAGATTCATTAAACAATAAATATAATTATCATTATCATGGCTTCCGAAACTAAAAAATTAAGATCCAATTCATTCTTCCTCAAAATCATTAAACGTCATTTTTATTACTTAATCTAAGTGTTTTCTTAATTATATTTAACTCTAGATTAAAGTTTATATATTATTAGAGGGTGGGGGGGGGGCTTCAAACTGCTCTTTTTATCTCAATATAAATATATAAACAAAATATTGTTTTATATTAGGTAGACTTTATAAGAACCTAGGATCAGAAGAAGAGAAAATGGAATCTGATTTTAAGGTAAATTTTAATAGTTTTGACACCATAGAACATAAATCATTTTTAATTTACTCAATTATATTATGTCACTGATTATTATTATTTAATATATACTGAATAGCCTTGATTCTTTAAAAAATCAATTATAAGTAGAATTATTAATTACTAGTTATTAATGAATAAACATTTGTTGTCAAATAAATTATAGAATCAATATTATGGAAGTAAGGTACTATCAAGAAAAGTTAGGAGACTTTTTTTACCATCTTTACAAGTAAACTACCCGAAGAATAAAATCATAGAGATGTTAAACCAAGACAAGAAATATGGTGATCAAGATGATGATATCAGAGGTTTAAAAATGATCGATTGAATATTGGAGTGTTTTAATTCACAATGAACAATAACAAAGTTGTTTGCGCTGTTTTTGATAGAATAAAAGTTAATTAATAAAAAATTAAAAAATAAACAAAGTTTTCAACAAATTATTTGAATTTTTATATAAGATTTAAAATCTAATAGATTCTATAGTTAAAAAGCTTTGGATTCAGTATTCCAGTACTCAAGTGATGATATAATAAAAATTCCCATATTTTTTATTATATGTCTTGTCTTGGTAAAGGAGAATAGTTTTAATTTGTGCCTAAAATCAGAAGTTACCTACATAATATTTCCCTATAAAAGAATTTGATTCAGTCATAACTAAGTGATTTCTTATAGGTTGTATTTTATGTTCTCGATGTTAAATTAATGTGAAATAAATATAAAAGCTCGATTAGTAAATGTTCTTTTATTTAAAAATATAAATGTCAAAGTATCTTCTTTAGCTAAGCTATACCAGGTATCTTTTTAATCTATGAGTTTATATATTTATTGCGAAACATAAATAGATTTGCAGTACTAAAAGACCTTGAAAATTTTTAAAAATATGAAATCGAAAGTATAAATCACAGTTAAAAATTATCTGTAAGATCAATTCAAATTTTAAAAAAAAACGTTATAAATAATTGTTCTATCATTATATAGTATTTCTTGTTGTATAATAATATATATTATGATCAAGTATTATAGTGCCTATAAGATATTTTTCAGATTTGCTTGTATAGATTTAAATTAGCATTCTTGTTAAATAAGGTATCTAAATTATCATTCTTTTGTCGATTTGGGAAAATTAATACTTAAAGAATATAAAAACATATAATATGGACCATAGGGTTTAGAATGCTTTATAAAAAATAAGGTGCTTAGCCTTAATATTACATATAATATATTATTATTTTACACCTCTAATCATTTTTATCTATCAGAGGCGTAATAATGAAAAATATTGAGGACCCCTGCTACTAACGACAAAAGAACCTATAAGGTTCTACCCATAATTTGAGACCTATTGGGGCCTGTAAAAATTTGGTTTGCGAATTCTAATGCCATGAGGGGGTCTATAATGCCTCTGCTATTTATTCTATAAATTAAATATGCTTTTTTAATTTAGATATTGCTTTAGAAATAAATGACGCCGAAGTTTATAAAAGATTGATAACTTACATGAGAAATAATTGCGATGTATGGTTGGCATTAAAAGAGCGAATAGGTATAAATATTATTTAAATTATTATATTTACAATTATTTGATTCAAAAAGATAGTCGTTGTGATTCGCCATCAGACCTTTATAGAGTATAATTTATATTTAATATCACATTTTTATTATTCACCCACTAGTTCAAAGATGCAGAAAATTTTAATATTGGTAACTTAAACTTTTAACATACATGAAAACCTTCTTGTATTGTATATTATAGGTATAAAAAATAAGAAGATGTATTTACCAAAAATACTTCATAATGAAAATTATAACAAGTATTCTGCAAAATGGGATAAAGGCAAAAGACTGTATCTAATTAAATTACCTAAACATCTAAATAAAAAATGAAATTATTTATTCATTGTTTTTTTAAAAAATATTTTTAACGCATACTTACTGAATAACACAATCTTATTTATTAAAACAAAATCCCCTTAATTTAATCCCAATTTTATTAATGCGTGACAGAATAAAGTTTATGTAAAAAAAATATCAATAATATAGACAGTTATTATGAGCATTTATATTTATATCTGACCAGATTTCGAAATAAGAGCAAATATCTTCAATCAATACTATTAATGCCTTCGGATTAATTCTTGTAGATATATTTAAGATATTTATGGTGGAACACATTAGGTATAATGTAAATAATGATGTGGTTGGAGGGTGGTGAACTAGAATAATAACTTGTGGCTTTTCTACTGAGGCAAAAATTGTCTCATGTTTGTTAGGGAGCAGTAAGAAATAGATGTATACACTATGCAGCTCCAATATTAGTTATTTATTTTGTTAGAAATTAATTTCTTTGGCTACACTAATAATAAATTATTTAGAAATAACTAGATTTTTTTTAAGAATGCTTAGGAAAGGGGACGGGACAGGGGGGGGGGGGTATTTAGTGTAAGTACAAATTCCTAAGATGAAATATCTACAATCAAGGATCAATGAAACATACAGTTTCGGACTGTTCCGAAAAATAATATTAAAATTCTAATTAAATTTATTACATTTCTAATATTATTTTTATCTGATTTATACATTTTAAAATATATTAAAGAACTTCTATACTGTAGGTTAATTATAAAAATAACAGAAACATTGTGTATACAAAAACTTATAGTGTACACTTGTAAGAATTATTGGTATATATTAGAAATAGCCTAATAAAAATTCACATATTTTTAATTTCTTATTAAATTTCTCAAAACTTGATTACTACTATTCTTCGGAATTTTTAAGGAGCGGCACTACAGCAGCGGCGCTTCTAGAGAGTCGCTACATTTTTTAAAAAACACCTCCTTTTTAAAAATAAGGAACGGGAGCTAGCTCCTTTTAGAGCTGGAGTGGAGGAGCGCCGCTCCACCGCTTCTTTAAATTTAATGTATAAATTAAATAATTTTTTAATTATTAATAATATTTGTTAATTAAAATTCATAAAAATGAAATTTTATATTATTTAAATTTATCCATTATTAAATGTTGAGCCGAGTTTTATATTGGTTTTTCATCTGATCATCTTAAATATTAAACATCAAGTTTTTTTTTATGTTGAAAATTTTTTGGAAAATCTTGTAAGTCATATTAATATTCATTTTATAAATATATAATAAAAAATAGTTTTAGATATTATGGATTTAGAGATCTAGAAAAAGAAATGTAATTACCATTTCCATCATACAAAAAATATTTTAAACTTCTAAAAGATATTGATCCAAATGATCAAACAAATTTAAGGGCAAAATGCCTTTTATGTTTAAATAAAACTATTTCATTTTCAAAAGTGAGCAGTTTCAATCTAAAAAAGCATCTAAAAGTAAATAAATTTTCTTTTAAATACAAAATGATTTGGAAGATTTTTTTCGATTCCATGAAATCCATCTCAGGAAGATAATATATTGGACAAATATTTTTTAAATAATGTTACCAAAATTACTATTTTTGATAAATTCCCTGAATTAAAAAATATCTTTATAAAATACAATGCCCCGCTTCCCTCTAGTGCTACTGTGGAGCGCCTATATTGCAAAACTGGTCTTAGGGGAGAGGCGTGGATGTTTGATAGATTCTAATTTAGAAAATTTATTACTTATAAAAGCTAATAAAAGATTATAAATATTTTGATAGATCATTTAATATAAATAAAACTTTTTGATAAAAAATATGATTTTGTTTCGTATATCTTCTAAAAAAATGAAAATCAAAGGAGCGATTATGGAGTGGCACTCCATTATTTGGAGCGGGAGCTAGCTCATTTTAAAAATGTAGTAGCGGGAGCGGGAGTAAATACTTCTGAGAAGGTAGCGGGAGCTAGCTACTTTTAAAAAGTAGCGTTAACAACTCTGCTATTTCTACTTTTTGAATTTATTCTATCTTACCTTTCTATTTTTTATTTATTAAATTATTATAATTCTGCTTATTTATTTCTATAATTCCATATAAATAAAAAACAAAATGATTAACATTTATTCAAATTTTTATTTAAAAAAAGAAGAATGTCCATAATTTTTTACATTTAAATTGCGTTGGTCTTTCCTCTAATAAGATACTTTTTACTGGAAGCCGAATAAAAGGAATTTTTTGCTGTTAAAACTTGAAACTATCTTGATTGTTATTTGTTTTATGGCCGATGAACTTTTTAGTTCATTCTCACACCTTTCATTGGTAGATGCTGACGCTTCATCAGAATCAGAAGAATAATCTAAAAATTCTCTAAATGTTTTATTAATTACGGTATTTTTTTTTTGGGGGGGAGGGGGGGGGAGGGGGGTCGAAGATGAATTAAAAAACTTAAAAATAATGCATATCATCGAATTTTAAAATGACTTTTTTATAGAGTTTGAGTGAATATTTTTGAGCGAAACTCTTTGAAGGTTTTATAAAGGAAAAAGATTTTTGATCAAATTTTACCTAAAATTTCTAATATATTTAGTAAAAAAACTTTTATAATTAAATATTTTCTAATTTTCATGCATAAGGAATCTTTCAAGATGAAATCACAAATTTTTTAAAAAAATATATTTAAATATTTATTTTAAAAAAAAATTTTAAGATTATTTCATACTCTAATTTTTTCATTTTTAAAAATATTTTTAAAAAATTTTCTAATCAAATCGAATATTCTACGAATTAAATAGAATAGTGTTTTTATCATTCTTACGAATACAAATAATAATCCCAGTATTCGATTTGTATTTTTGTAGATGCACTTTGATATAATAATTAAAATAATTATATATTAATATAATTAGATTAGTTTCAGAAGCACGTTTGGGAACGTTTCTAAATCAGGAATAGAACAATGGAACATATTTTTGCCAGAAGGGTATGGAACAGGAGCATGAGTAGGTCTTTGTTCCGAGTCCCTGTCTCTAATACTTTGTCACTGTTTCTTTTGCAATTTTCTATCTAGACCATCTTGAACTATAAATATTTTTGATTTTTAAAATTTTTGATTTTTAAAATTTTTGATTTTTAAAATTTTTAATGTAGGCTAAGCATAGCCGTAACCAGGAAGGGAAGGGAAAGGGGGAAGGGAAATTCTCCCTTTTAAAATTTGTCTGTTCTCATTTTAAACCAATAAAAAATTTTCCCCTACACCCCCACCCTCCTCTCCTTCCAAAATGTATATAATATATTATTATAAACAAGAATTAGAAAGAAAAATTAGTAAAAATTAATAAATTTTTAAATAAGGACTTTAATTTAAAATTTTTAGAAAAAAAGTTATAGAAAAAACATAAAAATTCAAAATTATTTTTATTAAAATATAACATAGCCAATACAATAAATCGACCTAAAGACCTCCAATTAAATTTATGGGGGAACCCCTCCCCCTAGCAAAATCCTGGTTACGCCTATGGCATGATGATTGTTTAATATGCATGAAAACCACTTTATTATAAAGATTGTAAAAATAAAAGGTTAAGGAGGTAGGGACTAGTTATAAGTATAACAAATAGATTCAAACCTAATTTTAAAAAAATGTCATGAATTCGAAGAAAATTTCTTTCATAAATTAAAAAGTATAAGCCACTTCCACATTTTGTCGACATTTCTTTAAGAGAAATGTAAATTAATTTAATTTCATATATTAATTGTGGATGACAATGATCAAGAAAAACAGTAAATTGCATTTAAAATATTCGATATCATTTATTAATGGTGTATCTAAACTTGATCATAAATTTTTTGTACTTGGAATATAAACTAGAATCGCCGCTAATATTTTATTTTCTTTTAGGATGTGACTCGCCATTTAGCTTTCGGGTTACCTTATGATCTTTTGTTCCTTAACTACTCTTCATCTTTGATAACATTAATATTTAGTCTGTCCAGTCTTCACATGAACGAATGGAGGGGGGTCCTCCATATATATTTCAAAAGGTATTAGGTAGGTACCTAGGGGGGGGGGAGATAGGAGTAAAAAATGATAGTAAATTTAGGAGTGGCGCCCAAGAAAATATTTTCTCTCATGGAGGAAACTGTTTCGGTCAATAAAAATATTTTAGATAGGGATTATAAAATAACTCCTATTTTTAAAAATTATCTAGGAGATGACTATGGGTATAATTGAATTTTTAATAAATATTTAATTGTATAAAATCCGCATAACTATTTTCTCTAAAATTTAAAAATTATTCTAAGTAATGCTTTGCTAAAATTACCAAAGAAAGAAAGAAATAAATTTTTATTCGGTATTTAATCAGAAAGCAATTTTTATTGCTCAACCAACAACCCCCCCCCCCTCAAAAAAAAATATAAAAATAAAAAAGATAAGTCTTTATTAGTAAAATCTATGTTCTTAAAACAAAAAAAATTAAAATATAGAATAAAAACTATGAATATATAAGAAATCAGAGGTTAATAAGCTGTCCACATCAGTGAATCGATAAAAAATTAGCCAAAACTTTTATTATCAAGTAATTATGCATTTCATTTTATAAAAAAATTTATTATATTGATCTTAAATTTATAAAATAAAATACTATTACAAAATAGTCATTTCTATATCATTCAATAGATACTGAATAATCCTTTACCAAGTGGTGTTAAAAAGCCCGATTTGGGTCGATTTTTAAATACGGCTGGATTATGATTTTAACCAAAATTATATTATGTAAGCCTCAAGATTTGGCAAGTAGAAACCCACACCTTTCAGCCATCTGTGAACAAAATAAGACTTACACAAGATTATTTTGGTTATAATCTTAATCGGGACGTTTTTAACCACATGGGGCTTTTTAACTATACAGCCAAAATTGTTTAATTGCGAAAGCCTGCGACCAAAATATTTTAAAATTGGCAATTATACGATTAAAAATCAATAATTTATTTATTAAAAATCAGTTTGTGTTTTTTATAAAAATATTTATCATCTATATTTATTTAAGCATATAAACCATCAAACTTTGTAATAAATACA